TTATCAAGTTTTAGATAAGAATAGTGAAGCTCGGGCTGTTGCTTTGGATATCTCAAAAGGCATTTGACAGGCTTTGGCATGCGGATGTTCTTCACAAGTTGAAAGATTATGGTATTTCTGGACAAATTTTTGAAGTGATTAAATCATTCTTACCAAATCGTGAAATGAAAGTGATCTTGAATGACCACTCTTCTAATTCTTTTTGCATTAATGCAGCTCTTCCCTAGGGCTCTATCCTTGGACATAAGTTGTTCCTAATTGGTGTCAATGACCTTTCTGATGTCATCAGTTCTATGCTAATGGCACAACTATTTACTCTTGTCTTAATCAGTTTGATAAGGTGAAATTGGCAGCTGATCTTAAAAATGACCTATAATCTGTTGTTAAGTAGAGCGAGGAATGGCTTGTTAATTTTAATGTCTCCAAAATTAAACTTTGGATGATGAACTGAAAGCAGGGATTATGGCAACATTCACCAACTTAAACAAGGAGACTGTCCCGAAGAGAATTCCAAAGTTGTCTGGAGGCTGTGGTTGAAGCCAATGGTGATTTTATAGAATAAATCTACTCTTTAGTATTTCAAGATATTTTTGTGGAATTTTGGTAAATATATCTGTTAAAATGAGATTTCAGTGTTATTTTCATTTTTGCATAATTTAGACAATTTACCCATTGCACCCTGTATTGTATATGATCAATTATTGTACATAATTAGGTTACAATAAAATTTACATTTTATAAATACTACCTTATGGAAATTGAAATCAATAGCGTAGGGGACATGAGATCCTTACACCAGCCCTGGTAATTAGTACACCTTAACTGTTTCCATTGAAAAAGAATATTCTGGTTCCTTATAAAGTAAAAGAAGATAAGCTTGTTTGCTAAACAACATAAAAATATTTGTAGATTTTATTTTACAAAGAGTATAGTATGAAGTACAAACAGCTTAGACTGAAATTTACAGTAATGTTGTGTAAGCCAATTAATAAAGGTTTGTCATATTATAGCAAGAGAATCAGTTGCCCAACCTTGCACCTAAATTAAGAAGGATGCCATAGGTTAACACAGAAAAGCCATGAAGTCTGATTTCCTATCAAGTAAGGATAGAAAAATCAAAATTCTCTTTTAAAGGTATTGTAGGTTTTGGAATAAGTGAGGTGTTCATTATGGCATTTTGTGTATTTAAGTTTTCTGCACTTGTTCTCTGTATGGTTTGGATTTATGTTCACCATACTTCCTACACACTTGTTGTCCCCTGCAAATGTCTTTATTATGTCCAGATTTTTGGCATTTAAAGCACCACAAGGGAGTTGGTATGTAATTTTCAACCTTTTCTATAGTGTATCCAATTCTGATTTCCTTTGGTATTGTTGGTTTATCAAATGTCAAGATATATGTATTGGTTTCTATGATTTCATCATTTCTTCTAAAACTTATTCTTTTGTATTCTCTTACTCCGACTTCACAAAGCGGTCTCCATTTCTTTTGGAGTTGCTAGAGAAAGATCTTGACTTCTTATAATGCCTTTAGATTTATTTAATTTTCCTGTGGATAGGCTTTACAGTTCAAGTTATGAAATTTCTTCATTTTCAGTAAATTCTCCATTTTTTTTTTTTTTTAACTTCTACTAGTTATTTCCACTTTGGCGATATTCACATTTTCAGGGTCTGACTGGCTAAAAATTACCTTTTCTGTCAAAAAAGGTGAAAGTTGGTCTAGTTGCTTTTCATCTAGTGATTGAATTATAATGAATCTTGGGAATTCAGCTGTAGTTTCTGGTTCAGACTCAAAATCAGAGAGGTTTCTTTTGGGTTTTCTGGTTTGTCTTTCCATAATTTAAATAAAACTATTCACTTGTTCTGTGCTCCACCACCCACTGCGGAGTCCAACTTCTGTTGGGAATATACCAAAGGGGAATCCCAATCACCTTGGTTGAGACGGGGATATATAAACGGTATACTTGCACTGTATACTGTTTTGAGTCACTGCCAGTTTCAGATTTAGTACCCAAGAACTAATATTAGATAACATGAAGGAGTGATCAAATTTTGGTTTCCTTGGTAAGATTGACCCTCAGCCATCGCCTACTATCATTTAAGTTACAGTGGAGATGGATGTCTGATCGAAGACAGATCAAGTTGAATAATACAGTTGGGATTAACTTTTGTTGCTAGGGCATGTTGTGGCCAACAACTTGGTCGGATTGGGCCTCTCTGATCTTCCGGCTTGATCAAGTAAGGGTCGAAGTGGGGGGTTGCAATTCACGTGACCGCTTTTACCTGGGTCATGATATATTCAACCACCAGGATCCCATCCTCAGACATCACAGGCTGTTCCCCCATGGCAAGACTTCTATCCCCTGCAGAGGTGCAGTCAGCATATTCTGAAGCCCCACTAATAGTATCAAATGCAGTTCAATGTCTTACCCAGGGAAAAAAAAAAAAAAATGATTAATAAAACCATTTTACTTATCAAACAAATGATGAAATTATCTACCAATATTTTCTTTTTATACTGTCACACTCACAGAGTTTGATATAAACTGAAATTATTAATCCTGCTACAATTCAAAGTATGTTTTTTTAAATGATAAGAGAAAGTTTTTTTTTTAAATAAATAATCTTTTTTTAGATTGTGGAATACAAAACAAAGTACAGGTTAAAAATACTCAAAAGCTAATTTGATTGCAGTCAACTCTGAAATTTAGTGAATATCTATGCATATGATGTATATGGGTGCACCTCCTAACAATAGATGACCTGAACTGGACAGGTGATCTTTCCTCAGATCTAGCTCTAACTGCACAATGGAGGAATAACTGGCTTGTAACATTCAATACCTTAAAAACAAAACTATTAACATTCCATCATCAGACAGACTCTAAATTTTCACCTATCATCATCAATGGGTGTTCTTTCAATGAAGCCCCTTTGCTTTGAATTCCTACTAGTTCTCAAGTCCACCACAGATCTTATATATATGATCCATCAGTAAAGATTCTGAGAAAGTATTCAGTTCCTTGTACTGCTCCAGTAAGTACTTGATTCATAGTCTTTACAAGAGCCAAATAAAGCCAAAAATGGAGTACTGTTGCCATATTTGGGCTGGAGCTACCCAGTCTTCACTTTCCAGTTTTGATAGAGTTCAAAAGTGTCTGTGTGGCCTTGTGGGTGATAAATTGTTTTCCACTCTCCAACCCCTTTCCCACAGATGAAATTTTGTAAGCCTCTCATTACTCTATCATTATTTCCAAATGATCTAACAAGCTACATTCTTTTGTTCCACCAGTTATAACCTGCACAGCTAAGACCCACTATGCCACTGAAACAAACCATTTTCATTCCCTTCATACTCCATTAGTAAGAAGAAAGTTCCACTCCAACAACTTTTTCCAAGAACCACTACTTTGTGGAACAGACTCTTGAGAAGATACTTTTATGAGTGTTAAAATCTTAACCTCTTCTAGTCTAGTGTTAACTGTTATCTTTCCCACATACCCTCATAAGCTGCATTTTTTACCTCTTACTTCTCATTTGTAATAAAAAAAAAGAAAAATTAACATTTTGTTTAAAATGCAAGCTCTTCTCTTTGAATAATAAACGTCTTTGTTTCTTGACTACTTTAATCATAACTTTTTAATTAATTCAGATTTTTGTATTTTCTATTTATACTATCAAGATTGTTTAAAATATTTTCCTTTTAACAATGTATATTTAAAAAACTATTTGATTTTAAAGTACTTTTGTAGATATAAAATGTTTGCTCATTTTGTAGTACTTGCACATCCAAATAAACTTAAATATAACAAAAAATAAACAAATTTGTATTCTTGCTTGTATTAACACTATGAAAAGATTTTCTTATTTTAGATAATTTCATAATCTGTGTGTGTGATTCAATTTGAAATTGAATTTAAAATTAATATACATTATGTAATAATAATTATATTATTAATGCTTATATAAAATTTCATTTTAAGAACATGAATGCTTGACTCCACAAGAGAAATAAGAGAAATCTAGATTTTTTTATAATTGTTAGTCTCTCCCACATCATGTAAGAACTGAGTAGAAAAAACCTCAGGTTTTTGCTTGAGATATTTGAAAGTGGAAGGCGTTATGTGCATTACTGACTCCACCCTTTAAAACAGGGATATCCAAATTAGAACTGAATTACATATTTTATTTTAGTAATTAAACAAAACAGACAGAACTATTTTAAAATGTACTGTTATTTTCCAAAATTGTTTTCTCTCCTCACTGAATAATTCAAATGAATTCAGTGAATAACATAATGAAAAAAAAAAAATCCATCACTCAAATCTTAATTAAGTTTCTAACCTAATTTTCCTTTTTAAACACAATCATTGTTTTATATAAAAAACAAAACATCTCTTCTGATTCTCAAAACCTTTCTCCCTTTTTAAAGAGTAATTTTTTTTACCCTTAAATGTATGCAGAAGCAATTTAATTTGTAAATTTCAGTTTATTGTTGTATGGAATTATTATTAATATTATTATTATTCATAATAACAATAATAATCCTGTGGCTACATTCAGCAGTGCTCCTAGGAAACAGTAGCTTCATTCATTAGCTCACTAACAAGCTTTTATTGTTGTTATTAGTAAATTATTTCATTTTCTTGAGAAGGCCACATGGATAGGGCAGCAAACAGGCGACCATCATCAATGAGCCACCACCTGCCAGGAAGCAACCATGGAAACGAAGTAAAGCAACCTGGAGTCAGTATCACTATGATGTTGGGGTGGGGGGTGATTGAGGTGATAATGTTACAAAGAGTGAAAGTAGGCAAATATAGTCATTACCAAACAGAACACCCGTGCAAAGAGAAAGGGAAGAAAGAGGAAAAGAAGGTACAGAAGAAAGCCTGGATGGAGCAGTGGTGTTTTTTGTTTTTTTTTATGATGATAGTATAAAAATTAATAATTGGCACTGCACATCTACTACTTGTCCTAGATAAACAGGGAGAGAAAATGATGGCAGAAGGATGGAAGATAAAAAGGTTGAATATCTTTTACTTTTTTCTTCTTCTGTTTGGGTAAGTTGGTCACAGCTGTACTCTCTTTTTAAAAAAAAATGTTTCTAAAGAATACTTTTATTTTTGATTTTTTGTTTTTAATTGTATGTCATATTTAGGGAAGAAAAACACTAGTAAATAGCATGATTCAGTTTAGCAAGGTACCTAATCTCTGAAAATTACCCAAATGAATTTTAAAACTGAAAAAATAAAAATTATTTAGAGAACCAGCTTGTCTTCAGCATGTTTTACATAAGATGGTCAGACGATCAAACTTATTTTTTAAATTTACTAGTAATACTGTCAATTGATTTATGAACATTTCACATTTTTATGCTGTCAACAATTAAGAAAATAAAAACAATGTTAACAAAATTTTTGAAGAAGCTATGTTCACTATGAAGCATGATAATTTATCAGAATGTACTTTTTTGTTTAGTTCATGTTGTTTTATTGGTTGTAATGATTAATTTTAGTTAGGAAAACAAAAATGTTCTCTTGATTTTTAAATGTTTTGTATGTGTACATCCAGCAAATGTCTTATGCAAAAAACAAAAGACAATAAAAGCCTGATTTAACTCCAGTGACTAGTAAATGTTATACCTTGTTTAAATATTTTTTCAATAAAAATGTCCATTTATAAGACACATGTACATATAAAATAATAGAGTTTTCAATAATAAGGATAAAGAATGCTTAATGTGAAGAAAGTAAATAACAAGCTTCAGAAGTGAGCAGCATTTTGATTAGAAACAACTCAATTGAAATGTAATGTTTTACCTATATAATTCAGAATGTTTTAGTTCCTTGTCATAAAATATATGTACTTGTAAAATCTGTGATTTCCATGTAATGTATTACCAATCCTGACAGCATTTTGTTCGATTCATGCATATTTATCAGTCTACCTGTCTATTTATCTACCTATCTATTAGTCCTGGGTATGACGATAAACTACATCCAGCAGCAAGGCTTCTGATCAGGAGATTGGAGGGTTTGAATAGCATGGAATCACATCTTAATTTCTGTTGTTCTCAGGTACATCCTGACCTAGGGTGGTAGCACCTGTTGGGGTCCCAGGTATGGGCAAATAATGAACCCCCAAACAAAACACTATGAAAGTATAAAAATACATTTTTATAGTAAAAATACCAGCAATACATTTTTTCTAATAAAATTACCAATAATACATATTTATAGTAAAATTACCAACACTGCATATTTATAGTAAAATCACCAATGATACATGTTTATAGTAAAATTACAAATGATACATGTTTATAGTAAAATTATAAATGATACATATTTATAGTAAAATTACAAACAATACATTTTATAGTAGAATTACCAACAATACATTTTTATCTGTAGTTGAAGGCATACAATTGTGTTTAAAATATATTTAATTGAAGCCATAAAAATTTGTTCAAAGTATTTAGATTTTGGCATTAAATAACCTTAGAGATTGAAATGCCTCTACAAAATCAACCAACCATCTATCTGTCTACCTGTCTACCTACCAATAGCTGTTTATAATGTATCTCATTCTAATTCATTCATCTTCATTTTTTAAAGAAAATCTGAACATACATAAACATAGATAAAATAATGTTTATATAAGATGAGCAATGACATCAAGAGTTGTATGAATAATTTGTAGAAATTCCTTGATGTGATTTTTCTATTTCATTATCTAGTGTTAAATATTATTTTAAATGTTTTAATAAAGAAGAAAAATATAATCATTATTTAATGTCTTGTTCCATATCAAGAACTTACAAAATGCAATTTGATTCATTTTTAATGAAATGCTTTAAAAATCTACACGTAAATGAACAATGTTTTTGGTAGTAATCCTGTAAGAAAAGTTTGGATTTATAGCATATTTGAAAAATAACTATAGTTATGCAAAAGTTTCTTCTATTTTAACAGAATCTTTTCTCACAACTCTCTCTTGTGGAATTCCATTCTGATTTCTTGCTTCCCTGCCACATTGATTATCACGGATATATTTTCCTGCTTGCTTTGTTATTAGATGATTTTTTTCTGAAAAACATTTTCTTAAGTAATTTAGGAAAGGAGTATTTCATGGATTTTCCTGTGAGTTGAAATTCTATACCCGTTACAAAATTCATATAAACTAACTCATTTACTCAAACTCAACTGCAAAGTTTAGGATAATTTCAACCTTCAATTATTTTAGTACACTGGAAGGATGCTTTCTTGAGATCATAATTGATCATAATTGATCCCTTCTCTTTATAGCTATGGCTTCAATAGTACTGCTTGTAGCTGGAAAAAATTTTGTTATCTCCAAAAATTTATTAATGCAATATTAACTTCCAAAAAAGAAAAAAAATCTTACAATCCAAAATATGTTTCTGATGTACAAAAACTAATCAATCTTGACATCATATATGCAGCAGCATATCATAACCAAAGATGATCAGAGATGATATAATCAGAGAACATTTTCTATTTTTGGCAATATATCATGTTTAAAGGAAGATATGTCTTGTGGTAGAATCATGAAATCAGGGAGGGAGTGTATATATAAAAGCAACCAGTAAACATCAGCCCAGTTTTTGTGCTCAGGTCCTTCATCCCTAACTTTGTGAATGGACACAAGTAATCACAGAATTCAAAATAAAGAAACCATGTCCCTTGTTCAAAATTTCTTTAATCTATATCAGAATAAAGTGAAGATAGCTATCAGCCATAAGAACGGTGAATTGTATTATTTTTTTCTTTTTCTAATACTTTGACACACAAACTCAGCTTGCAGCAGGAATACTGGTTTATTAAAAAAAAATGTCAGTGTTATTAAACTTTTAGGTTAACATTTAAAAATAGCTTACACTTCTTCAGTTTTGGAGCTGTTCTTGGCATATATCCATTTTAGTGCAAGTGAGGGGTGCTATCTAGGCAATTAACTAAATTATACAGATAGCATGTGAAAATGTGACAACTGCTTAATATTAAGATTTTCCTGTTGATTTGAAATTTCTTTTTGGTCAAGTTTAAGCTCCCTGTACATCATATTTATTATAAAACCCAAGTTGTGTGTGTGTCTGTACGTTTATATATTGGATCGAATTTCCTATCATTTTCAACTGATTTCAACAAAACTTCACAGGACTATGTAAAATTACCTTGCAGTGGTTCTGACAGTGCCAAAAATGGGAAAAACACAATTGTTTTTGCATGAAATCAATTTGAAAACACAATTAAGAGGCATCACGAGAGATAATGAAAGGGGGACAACTCATATCGAGTTATACTTATTATAAAACCCAGGTTGTTTGTGTGTGTGTGTGTGTGTGTGTTCCTTTATATATGGGATCGGATTTCCTACATTTTTCAACCGATTTCAACAAAACTTCACTTTTTTTTGGCAGGTAGTGTTTCTTATTGTCTTGTACACTTTTTTCTTTATTTTTACATTCAGAATGCTTTAAAAATTCCATTTACAAGACAATTGTGTATAATAAAATTTTATTCAATCGGTAGACTCATAACGATTGTAAACAATGTTTTTGTTTGAGTTTGGGTTTGACCAATTCATTAAAAAAAACAAAAAAAAAACAATCTTTGTCAATTTTATTTTTCAGTCTTTATGATGGTCAATACTTGATCTATCTCTTACTGTTACATCCCCGGGCAATGCCGGGCTCTACTGCTAGTTATTTATAAATATAACATATTTCAGTGATATTGATTCTCTGACTATAAAAAAAAAAAACATACTTGATACTTGAGAGCCTTAAACATAACAAAAACAACCCTCAAGTTTCTGTCCCAACTGCAAATACCATTAGGACAAATAGCTTATCAGAAATTGTAATGCTTGTAATATTAAGCAAGTTATTTTAGGAACAGTGGAAGACTGAAGGTTTCCTTTTTTAGGTTACATGCTCAAAGATATGAGATTTATTTTTGATTACTTGTACTTCAAAGGTTAAGGTGATGTCTCCTGAGGTGCTGCTTGTGCATTCAAGGATGGAAAGCCAAGTTTTTATGATTTCTATCTTTTTGTATATCTATAAAAGTGAATGGAAATATATAATATATGAAATAGTATTGAAACTCCACTTGTAAGAAAATAAAGTCATGTATTTTAAAATGAAAACTATATGGAATTTACATACAAATTTCCATGAAAATATAAAATTAATAATTTTCTATAAAAGGTATCTAAAACATACATTTCTGTTATTTGTTGTTATTTATTTGTGAAGTGATAATGCATTTCCTTTTTTTGTCAACTAATTTAGACTAATGTTGATAATAAAACAAACAAATGAAAATTGAATGTAATAGCATTTTCAAATAACCAAAAATGTTAGAAACTTAAAAAAATGCAACCAAGCTACTTAAATGTTTTATAGAGATTGTGAAATATAAGTCCCTATGCATGAACCAATTTATCAATCATTAATTCAAATTTTTATTGTAAAAAGGTTAATGTTCTACCAAGATCAGACCATTGATAACCAAAATTAAACCAATTGCAAAGTCAATATCTGTTGCAAAATTGGAAAAATATTTGAGAAATCTTCACATACATTGAATTATTTTAGGATTAGATTCAACTGCATTGAATTAGCAAAATATCAGAATTATACTCATAAAATACTACAGAAACTGATGGCATTTGTGCTTGATGTATTCATTCATTTTCTAAGGATTATCAACCTTTTGCAGGTTATTTAAAGTTGGGAAATATTTTTAGATTATAAAAGTTTTTTGTGGGGAAATAAGAATGACTTAGCAATACAAGTCTTACTAATTAACCCATAGCTGGGGAAAGAAGAGGTGTATTCATATTTTCCAGGGGTATTTGCATGTAAGTGAATATAACAAACCCAACAGGAATTGGAACTTGGCTCTCCGATTAACAATTCCGAGTCATTATCCATTACACCACCCACACATCCAAGCTTACAGCACTTGGCATTTCCAAGTGATCACCCATCTAGGTACTGACCAGGCTCAACATTGCTTAACTTTGGTGACTGTAC